CTCACTCAAAGCTCGTATTTCGAATTTTGTTCGTTACTTATTAAGTCTATTATTAAGGCAAAACGCCACTTACACCTAGTTCTATTACATTTTCCTTCTTTCCAGGTACCGCGTCATTTCATCATAAACAACAAAACTAAAACTCCTCCTCTCGCTGCACATTCGAATTTTTAAAATTACCAAAAATGTCAGTCCCAAAGAGTTCCGGTTTGTCCAAACTCAAAAAGAAGCACTTTCGCGTGAAGCACCAGAAGGTGAAACTGTTCCGAGCGAACGAGCCCCTTCTGTCGGTGCTCATGTGGGGCATCAACCACACCATAAACGAATTGAGCTACGTCAGCATCCCTGTAATGCTTTTACCGGATGATTTTAGGGCTTATTCTAAAATTAAGGTGGACAATCATTTGTTTAATAAGGAGAACATGCCGAGTCACTTCAAGGTGAAGGAGTATTGTCCACTCGTGTTTAGGAATTTGAGGGAACGCTTTGGAGTCGATGATATGGATTTTAAGGAATCGATGACCAGGTCACAGCCTATATCGATGGACTCGTCTGGTAAAAGTGGGGCCAAGTTTTACCAAAGCTACGACAAGATGTTTATTATCAAAAGTTTGACCTCGGAGGAGGTTGAACGGATGCATTCGTTCCTGAAGCACTATCATCCTTACATCGTGGAACGACATGGTAAGACTTTGTTGCCACAATATCTAGCGATGTACAGACTTACAGTGGAGAACGTTGAGCACTACTACGTGGCTATGAGGAATGTATTCTCTTCCCACTTGAACATCCATCGTAAGTTTGACCTCAAAGGCTCCACTGTTGATCGTGATGCCAGTGATAAAGAACTAGGTAAACACCTACCTACTTTAAAAGACAATGATTTCATCAAACAAGCCGTAAAGATCACAATTGGTGAAAATGCCAAGGAGCAACTCGTCAAATCCTTGAATGCAGATGTAGACTTCCTAACCAAACTACACTTAATGGACTACTCTTTATTACTCGGTATCCATGATTGTGCAAAGGCTGAACAAGACAGGATAGAAGCCCGTGAATTAAAGAATGCTGAGCAAAAAACCGATGAGTCTGAACAAGTCGAATCTGAAGAATCAGAGACCGAACGATGGACTTACAATACACCCCCTGATTCACCACATCTCCTGCGTGAATCCAGTGTGCAATACGATGGCATAATTCCTGACCAGGACATCTACGCCATACCATCCTGCGAAGGAATGGAACAAGGCGAAGGCACTTGCAAAGAAATCTATTTCATCGCAATAATAGATGTCTTAACCCAATACGGAGTCAAGAAACAAGCTGCAAAGGCTGCTAAAACCGTAAAGTACGGTTCAAACGTCGATGGAATATCCACATGTGATCCTGAGCAATACGGTAGACGGTTTATCGAGTTCTTAACAAAAGCTATCGAGTAGATGCACACTTTTTTTATTAATTTTAATTTGTCACGTGTATGCCCCCTTTGCTATTGCCAAATATTTGATAAATTGACAAATAAATTACTAGCATGTAAGGATAAATTTAAGATGATGAATACTGATGGAGACAAAGAAAATTTGTATCGGGCAAATTCAGTATTTTTATTTATCGAGTTCAAAATTTATTAAAATCGATTGATTGTTTTCTTTGTCTCGCTTGAGATAATTGGATAAAATAGCTATGTTATGATACTGGTTTTTTAATCAATCAATACATTTTTAAGTCAATTCTTTGATAAAATAGAAATTTTATGGCAATTAGAAAGAACTGTTAATAAACTATGTATATGCTATGCAAAAAGGTGCTTCACACATAAAACCTAATCTTCAAAAGGCATAACGTCTAATAGTGATGTAACGAATATTCGCATTCGCATTCGCATATTTTTCGATATTCGCATTCGCATTCCTATTCGCAAAAAACGATGCGAATATTTAGCGAATGTATTTAACAAACAAAAAGGAAATTATTATATAGTTGCATATGAAATGATAACACAACTGATAAGATTTATATATTTTTATTTAATCATACTCATTTATTTTTCCATTCCACTATATATTTTCTAAGAATTAAATATGATAATGAAATATAAACTTAAAAAACCAAATAATGAATACTTGACTATTTGTAAATAAGCTTTTTACAAAAAAAAAAAAAATATTTCTATTTAAAACAAAAGTAAAGTTCTAATATTCATAATGTTAACATTTGGTTTCAATTGCACATTTTTTCACTCACGACACGAAATGTCAAACATTTTGCGCGCGCTTTATTTGAAATTTAACATTCGCATTCGCGAATATTCAAGATGTATACTCGCATTCGCATTCGCATTCGCGAACATGAAAAATCCAACATTCGTTACATCACTAACGTCTAATAACAATTTTTTTTTATGAAGTTAATGTGAAGTATCTATCTTCATATGAATTGGTAGTAAAAACTGTCAAAAAGCTATATGTATGCTGTGCGAAAAGGTGCTTTACACATAAAACCTAACCTCCAAAAGAAACAACGTGTGATAACAATGTTATCGTAAGTGCATTTTTTTTTTAATAAACACATTTGAAGTTAGTGTGAAGTATCTTTATATGAATTCGTAGTAAAAATTGCCAAAAAGCTATGTATATGGTGTGCGAAAAGGTGCTTTACACATAAAACCTAACCTCCAAAAGGCACAACGTGTGATAACAATGTTGTCGTAAGTGCATTTTTTTTTAATAAACACATATGAAGTTAGTGTAAAGTATCTTTATATGAATTGGTAGTAAAAACTGTCAAAAAGCTATGTATATGCTATGCGAAAAGATGTTTTACACATAAAACCTAACCTCCAAATATAACTATTTTGTCGTAAGTTCATGTTTTTGATTAACACATGTGAAGTTAGCGTTTCTTAGCTTTGTGGCAGTTTTTACTACCTATTCATACTAATGTAGACCCATAACACTCTTTTTTTATTGAATAATTGACTTCTGTATTTACTGGTTTTTATATAATTTAACATCTAACTTAACCTCCAAATAGCAGATAACATTAGTTTGACCTCATGCAAGTAATTTTTTAAGTGAAGTTGAACCTTCGTTTAATTTTACCTTTGTTCAATTTTGAGGTTAGGTTTAGCATCGATATTCTTTGATAAAATAAAACATTATGGTAATACTGTATTACGGGTCTATCTTCGTATAAATGCTATGTATTTGTCGTACCATCAGGCGTTTTACATATAAACCTAACTTCACCCTTGTGTTATCAAGGAGACATTACAAAGATGCACTTATGATAACATTGTGCGTTTTTTAGGTTAGGTTTTGTATGTGATAATTACAAGGATTTTTGACAATTTGTTACTACGAATTCATACCAAGATAGATCCGTAACATAACATTTCTTTTTTATGCAAGAATTGGTTTTACCTCTAGGTTTTTAGTTTTTATTCGTGCGTTTTTCTCAATATCGATGCTAAAACCTAACCTCAAAATTGCACAAATATCAATATATAACGTTAGTTTAACTTCAGACATGTGTTATTTTAAATTTGAAAGGTCTTAAAGTGCTTAAAAAGAGATTCTAAAGACCTTAAAGTATAATTAAAAAAAAGTTGAAATATATTTAAAGTTTTATATTCCAAAATTAATAAAGTTATATTTTTTTTCTTATTAATTTTTTTTTGAAGATTCTAAAGTCTTAATAAGAGCCTAAATTTAAAAAGTCCTAAAGAGCTTAAATAAAGATCCTGAAATTTGAAAGGTCTTAAAGTGCATAAAAAGAGTTTGAATTTAAAAGGTATTAAAATGCTTAAAAAGGGTTTAATATTAGAAGATTCTAAGAGCTTGAAAAAAGTCCTGAAATGCTTAGGAGGAGTATAAATTTAAAAGATTCTAAAGTGCATAAAAAAGTTTAAATTTAAAAGGTCATAAAGCGCTTAAGAGGAGTTTCAATTTAAAAGATTCTAAAGTGCTTAAGAAGAGTTTGAATTGAAAAGATTCTAAATTACTTAATGATGAGTTTGAATTTAAAAGGTTCTAAAGTGCTTAAAAAGAGTTTAAATTTAAAAGGTCTTAAAGTGCTTAAAAAGAGATTCAATTTAAAAGGTTCTAAAGCGAGTAAAAAGTGGTACTTTGATAAATTTATACACTTTTTAAGTACTTTAGGACCTTAAATTCAGACTCTTTTAAGCCCCTTTATGATCTTAATAAATCCAAGTACTTGTAAGTACTTTATAAACTTAAATTCAGACTTCTTTAAGATAATAATTTAAACACTATTTAAGCACTTTAGGACCTTAAATTCAGTACGTTATAACTTTAAATTCAGATTATTTTTAAGAACTTCAGAACCTTGATAAATTTATACTCTTTTTAGGTCCTTTATGACCTTGATAATTTTAGACTTTTCTGAAGTACGAAGAAGTGAAGTAGAACTAATGTTACATTCTAACACTCTTACAATTTTGAGGTTAGGTTTTAGCATAAACATTTTGTAAATTCCAACACTCGATTTTTAAAACTTTTGTGACTATTACCTTGTGTTATCATAACATAGCTATTTTATCCAAAAATTGCCCCCCGTATTTTTAATTAATGTGATTGTATATCTTATTCGAATGCAAGCGATGTGAGTGTATAAGTAATTTTAAAGCGATTATTTAATAATCTTTAAACTGCACAAAATATTGTACTGTACTTTTTGTATATTATAAACACACGTAGATAATACTACTGCGAGGCCTGAGAAAAATCTATTTTCAGGTCTCGATGATTTTTAATATATTCCAATCAGCAAGTTTTATAAAACTCGAACACTACTTATGTATTTTATTTAAATTATCGAATCAAATTTTATAATCGAAGCATGATAAGCCTAATATATAAATCCTTGTTGTGTGATGGTTAGAGATTTTTTGTTTTTATTTCAATTTAATAATAATAATAAAGTTTTAATATAAAGCATTACATACAAGTTTAAGATGTATAAATAGAAATGAGAGGAATGAGAACAGTATTGATATATTTTAAATTTAAAATATATCTTACTGAGTTTCATCTTCTCGTATGTAATTATAATAATAAAGTCCCCACATTGAGATTCATAGATCCTATTCGTATACATACATATTTATAAACATACAAAAAAGTGTTTTGGAAAAATAGAAGAAACACAAATTATGATATTTAATTTTTCTTCCTCAATAAGTTTATAAAAATGTATGCATCATCAATTAATTTCTATCGTTAGTTTAATAAGATTAATATTAATATTAATGGCATGTGAAATATAAAAAAAATGACATTCTATATATATACTACAATGGAAAAAAAGTATATATAGAATTTTAAAACTGTCTAGTCTACGTTTTAGTTTTTTTTTTTAAAGAAAATATCTTTATATTCGTGTTATTTTTTATGACTTTTAATATCTATATATGCTTGTGAACGTTTGTATTATATAATTAATTTAAAAAAAAATCACACTGACGGTAATAAAATTTTATAATTCACCTATGACAGCATTGTTTGAAAATTTTGGAAAAAGGAAAATAATTGTGAAGAAGTGATACTTCGTAATGTAAAAAAGTAGAATTTGATTTTAATGAATTTTTATTTTTTCTTTAAGACTTTAAGTTTCTTCGAGTCGTGAAAATATCCAAAAATATAATATCTACAATAAGATTATGATACTTATAATAAGATATTGAAATGTTTTGGGTATTTTTGTCAATATTTTTCATTTGAAGACAATCTATAATAATTTAAAACTGTTTGGATAACTGACTGCGTTTTTGCACATTTTATAAGACAATTTTCAACGTTTTCAGACAACTGACAACACTTTTAGACAAGATACAACATTTTCACATAACTTACAATATTTTTAGACAACAAATTGCAAGATTTTCAAATAATTTATAACATTTTCATACAATTACATATTTTTCAGACTACTTGCAGCATTTCTAGACAACATTTTCAGACAATATACAACACCTTATAAGACGACTTACAATAATTTCAGACAATTTATAACATTTCTAGATAACTCACAACGTTTTCACACAACTTACGATATTTTCAGATTACTTACAACATTTTTAGACAATTTACAATATTTTCGGATAAATGACAACGCTTTCAGATGACTTACAATATTTTCAGAAGGTTTACAACATTTTCAGACAACTTACAACATTTTTAGATAATTTACAACATTTTCAGACAACTTTCTGACACAAATTACAACATTTCTAGACAACTTACAAGGTTTTCAGACAACATGCAACATTTCTAGACCATTTACAATATTTATGAACAATTTACAATATTTTCAGACAATTTATAACATTTTCAGATAACTTACAAACATTTCAGACTATATAACATTTTCAAACAACTCACATAATTTTCAGACGACTTACAATATATTTAGATAATTTACAACATTTTCAAGACAATTTACAACATTTCAGAACAGCTTTGAAGGTTTTCAGGCAACTTGCAACGTTTTTAGACCATTTACTATATTTTTTAACAATTTACAACATTTTCAGACGACTTACAATATTTTTAGACAATTCACTAC